TTGGAAAATATTTGAACACCGTGTCTTAAAATATTTTATTCATCATGTTAAAATAAAACGTTCTATATCAATTTTTTTTCTTTTCTTTTTTAAATTTTTCCAATTTTTCTAAAAAAAACAAAAAAGGCTTCAGGAAAAAATGGGGGAAAACTTTTTTTCCATGAATTTTTCCGGGGGGTTTTCCGGGCCTTCACATCTCTAGGCAGGCTGTAGCTGTGAAAGTAAAACAGCATATGTGTGCACATACTCGCTAGGGTTGCCAAATCCATGTTGGGAAATACCTGAAGGTTTTGGGGATGGAGCCTGGGAAAGGTGGGGGGAAAGACATTGATCAGGTATAATGCCATAAGAGTCTATCCTCTGAAATAGCCATTCTCTCTAGTCTGGTGATCACTTGTAATTCTGGGAGATCTCCAGGCTCCACCTGGAGGTTGGCAACCCTGTTCATTTCCAGCCTGAATGCTTATAGCTATCCTTAGGTCTTTCTATAGCAAGTAAAGTGCAGCTAAACCAAAGCAGGTTTTGGGCGGGGGCAGGCAAGTTCAATGGAAGATGTCGTGAATCAAAGGGACTGTCCATCCAAGAAAATGTACCTTCTTCTGTGATCTCTGTTATCAAAGCCTCATTACATGCTCAGAGGAAGAAACAGACACTTTTATGGTGATATGGGGGATTCTCATTTTGCACACTGCAACCCATGAAAGCGGAAGTGGGACAATATGGAGGTGGAGATCTTCATGCATTTACAAGACTCTGTTTATCATGTGTTAGGGTTGCAAGTCCCCAGGTTCGGGTGTGGGTTTCCCCACTTTTGGGGGCTCCAATCAACCCCCAACCAGCTGGCCAGCAGGGGAAGCCCCCAAGCCCCACCCCCAAGAGTGACCACCTGCCTGGCCTCCCCCTCCCTCCCCGCCTGATATAAAGGGCTTCAGCTGATTGGTGGGGACCACATGGCCCACCGATCAGCTGGAGGGCCCTTTCAATCTAGGAGTAATCAAGTCTAGCAACATATGACTCCTGGGTTCCGGTATGGCATGGCGACGGGAGGTTTCGGGTTGCTCCGAGCCATCTGATCCCTTTTCACTCCTTTGGGAGCAGGGGCTCAATCTTGGCCCCTTCCACGCCTGGTGAATGTGTGGGGGGGCTGTCCATTATTGCCCCAAAGCGGAAGAGATTAGTGGAGTAGGACATGGTCGCCATGTTCTACCCAGCCGCAGCGATCCGTTTTTAAACACTTTGGATAGAAATTTAGTACACAGCAATGCGGAAAAGGAAAAGAAGGGAAGTTTAACTGAGTACTTGTATCTTTACTTACAATTTCGAAAAAAATGACTCGGTAAAAAATACCCCAGGCTGTATGTTTCCAAAATGGAGGTGAAGAACGGCGAGAAAGTGATTAAGAGGAATAATTGAGCATGAGTCTTGTCTTTTTTGGAGTAAAAACTCATCTGGTGGCAAAGATCTGTAGCTGTTAAAATTGAGTAAATCTTCAGTGTGAGTTAATCAGTGCTATATGAATAAACAAGGTGGAAAGAGAAGGTGTAGTTAAAAAATAGAGAGACAGAGAGAGAGATGGCATTCCAAAAGGACACTGAAGAGGAGGAGGAGAAGATTAATGAAGATATGGAAATAATTTCAGGGAGTACTTATGGAAGGGATACAAAAGAGGATTGAGGAAGCTATTGAGAACTATACAAAAAATAAGCAGAATGTGTACTCAAATTTGGGAAAAGACAAAGAGTTGGTGCAAAGCAGGCAGGATGTTACAGAGGAACAGGACTGTGACCAAGAGAAGATGGCTCTTGATATACAACCTTTATTGACAATACATGCAGAAAATTGTAAGGAACAAAGGAGTAATTATAAGGAGACTATAAAACCCATTTACTTAACGACTGGGCTGAGAAAGAGGGCTTCTCTAAAACATTTTGGCAAAAGAATGGGAGAAATAGCAAAAAAGAGAACAAGCCAAAAGAAATTGATGAGAACTGGTTAAATCAAATTTAAATTGACAAGAAAGACTCTCAAAAACCTTGGATTATAGCAAGAAGGAAGCTGGCAAAAAAGAATATAAATTGCAAGGTGTGGTAAATCATTAGTGTGAAGAAGAAGGTGAAAATGTACAAAGAGGATACAGACATCAGGCAACGGTTGTGTGTGTGGGGGAAGGTTATTGATTTCTATATGACTGCTCATATAGTACGGTATTGATAAATGAATTTCATTTTTAACACATATGAATTTGGGTGACATTGGGGATTTAGGTTGCAATGTGATCCTTAAGGGAGTTATGGGATGGTTGTGACATCAGGCAATGGTTGTGGGGGGGAAAGATTATTGATTTTTTGGGGGAAAAGATGATATTTAATTGGTGATTGTAACAATGTATTTATTCTGTATGATGTTGGTTTGAATGAGAAATGAGATTAAGGACTGCTCATATAGTAAGGCATTGATAAATGAATTTCATTTTAACCCATATGATATATGTGCTTAGACATATTATGTGGAAGGTTAAAAAATAGTAGATTTGGTGATTGATTAAATAATGGCTTTAAAAAAGAATTAACTAAAATTAGGATACAATATAAATGTAATTTGTAATTTAATTTAGATAAGTGGGTTGTAAGAAGTAGATGATTTTAGAGGTTAGTTGGTTAGTGTAACATGAGTAAATAAGGTTAACAAAAGGTAAAAGGGAGTAATTTCTAACATAAGGTAGATAAGAAAATAGGCCTTTTCTGAGGAAAGTTGTTTAATGAATGGTTTGAAGAGTATTGTACATCTTTAATTATGGTTAAATTTATGCCTAAAGTTATTAACTCTAAATGGGAATTTTTTAAGGGTAAAAATATTTATGACGACAAGAAAATATGTTTTTTGTTTTGTTCAACAGTAAATAACATATTTGAAATATGGTAAACTAAAAGGTATAAGTTACAAAATTAATTGGTAAAGGTTGCTGAGAAATGAAACCCATATGTAAGTGAAAACTGTTGAATACTTTTTGATGAGTTGTTGTTTAGAAGTTATGGTTTTCAACTTTACGCCATTTATTCTCTGTATAAATTTATATTTTGATTTTTTCTTAAATATTTCCTTTGTTTCTTTTTTCTCTTCTTTTTTTAGTTTATGTAATCTTCAACCTTTACGATATATGTGAACATGTTATTTTGAGGGTTAATAATAGTGAATTTGGTGAGTGTTTAAATAATGGTGTTAAAAAGGTACTATTTAAAAAATAGGAAACAGTATAATGTTTAATTTACACTAGAAAAATAGAATGTAAGTAGGTGGCTTTAGAGGTGAGATGGTTGACCCAATTTGATTGAATATGGTTAGTAAAATGTAAAAAGAAACTAACAAAAGTTAGATAAGAAGACAGGCCTCCTCTGAGAGAAGTCGTTTAATGAAGGGTTTGATGAGCATTGTACATCTTTAATTATGGTAAAAACCTTACATAGAGGTAATAACTTTAAATGGGAATTTTTAAGGATAAGAACAATTATGATAGAACAATTCTAAGTTAGAGTAGACAGGGAAATATGTTTCTGGGTTGCCCAATAGTAGTCAACGTATCTGAAATATGGTAAAGTAAAAGGTACAAGTTACAAAAATAACTGTTAAAGGTTGCTAAAATGAAATTCAGGTGTAAGTGAATATGGTTGTACAATCCTTTGATGAGTTGCTGGATGGAAATTATGGTTGTTGGTATATGCACTTTTCTTTTCTTTTTTGAAAAGAATAAAAATATTTACCAAAAAAAAGTCTAGCAACATACAAACACACAGGGTTTTTGTCTTAGATATCTTTGTACATTACAGAACACATACTTAAGAGTTTTATGACAAAGAAATAATTCTTTATTGAACTAATGGTTGTCCATCAATATTTAATTTTTCAAACTTGAAATTTGCCTGAGGATTGTGATATTAAAAATAGCAGTTATAGAATGTATCTACCTACAATCATGTTAAGTAAAAGAACCCTGTGGATCAGTAGAATGTGGTAGAGACATTCCTACGTGAATCATACAAATGGGGTATTAATTTTTGGCATTACCACAGCAAAAAAAATGCCATGTGCATAATAAAGCTGTGTACTTCTGTTTCACACTGCTTGTGCTTCACAATTGAATATGTAGTTCACAGGAAGAAAATATAGTGGAAAATGGGAGTGAGAACAATAATAAAGCAATTTTTTCTGTAATTCAGTACGTAGTAGTGAAATATTCTTGTTTCTTCTCTATTTTATTTATTTATTTATTTACTTCATTTATGGTTGACTTTTTTGCTTACAGCTTCTATTTCTGTGTGACCTTGGGATCCTACATTTCTCCCACTTTCCTCTAAGAAGAAGCTGCAAGGATAATTTTTAAGGCTTTAAAAAAAATGTTGATCTTTATACGTAGGCTAAATGGTGAATGACCAAGGAGTCATCAATTCACCTATCCCAGTAGTTAGTTCATTGTGTAGTCTTAGACAAGTCTTTCAACCTTACTTAGTCGTTAGGATAAAGTGAATTTATGTCATCCTGAAGTCAATAGAAGAACAATAGAATAGAAAAATAATAAATTAATCCAGGCACACTCAAAACGATGCTTCTGCATTATCTGTCCATTAATTCTTTTGGTAGTTTCTTCAATAAAAAGAGGCATACCATTTTTTTGGGTAGAAATTAAATGCAAACTGTCATATCTACAATATTAAACTATAGCTGACTTATAGTTCAGTAATCTTTAACTCTGCTTAAGCAGTGGCAAGGGCATCCAAAAGTCATTGGACCTGATGTGAAATGTGCCAACAAAAGCTGCTTCATTATGAGAATGAAGCATCTTTATGCCAAGTCATACCAACTCAGTGCTGCCTGCTTTGATTGGCAGAAGATCTCCAGAGTCTTTCCCACTGACTTTCTGTCTGAACCTTTAACTGAAAAGGGCAGGAACTGAACCCGTGACCTTAACAATGCAAAGCATGGACTCAGCCACTGAACTATGGCTTCTCTCCTCCCTGAAGTGAGCTCTTAATGCCTGTACTGAAGTATTAGTGGATGAAGGAAAAGCAGAGGGACCTTGGATGTAGGTACATAGATGGTTAGCTAGGAATATGCACAGCAGATAGCTTACAAGTAAAGCAGTCAAAAAGGTATGTTAATATTCAACAAACCTTAGCAACCAGGGCTGCTAGACCGGATACAGAAGGAACATTGAAAGAGAGTGCCACTTTGATCTAAAGGCAGCCCTGTTTCTGTTTACTGTATTTCACATATGCCTCTTTCACTCCAACCATTCCCTGCCAAAGGTCCCTCTAAGCTGTGGAGTCTTGTGAGCAAAAATTCTACTTGGTGAGCTACTGGCATGAAAGTTGTGAGTGAGTGATTTGGCTGCTGCATAAATTAATTTGCTCTGGAGCCATCCTTCCTGAGCTAAGATAAAAATGTGTGAGCCGGAGGCTAAAAAACTGTGAGCTAGCTCACACGAACTCAGCTTAGAGGGAATCCCTGCTAAGTGCAAAAGAACTTTGTTTAATATTATCTATTATGTTTGAGGGAATCTGACTATGTCCAATGTCGGGAGTCTGACAGTGTTTGCTACTTCTGTTCTACCCCAATTAATATACTTGCAATTCAAGTAAGAATATGGGATGGTGGTTGTTTTTTGTCCTTCTCTGGAGGAATTATTGTCTTCTAATTATACAGTACTATAACACTAAACCTCAGTAGTATCAGAATAATATTTCTGTTTACAAATTGAAAGAGAATGATGTTTTTTAAAAACAAAACAAGGGATGTATTTAAACATTATACCTCTCTTTCTTTCCAGGCCGTAGACGTTATCATGCCTCACACTGCCCTAGACCCACTAGTCCTGTATCTACTGACAGCAATATGAGTGCTGCTGTAATACAGAAGGTTCGTCCTGCCAAAAAGCAAAAACACCAGCAAGGACATCTGCGCAGAGAAGTCTACACAGATGGTAAATGTCTTTAGAGGTGCACTCTTCTAGTAAGCATACAGAATTGCTGTAGGAGTCCATGGCTTGTCCTTCCTCTTGTTATGCTCATTTAATGCAGCACATTGAAAGCTTCATCATTGTTTTCATTGTTTAGTTAATCTTCTTGTTACACATATACAGACCAACCATAATTCTCTAATCGGCTATTGGCTATCACTATTTTTGAGACCTGATATTGCAAATGGATACAACAGAGGAAAATAATACATTCATGAGATTAAAATCTTCATTAAAATAAATCCTCCATAGTGTCATTTTTTTCCCCCTCACAGAAACAATTTAGCATTCAAATAGCAGGCAGGGAAAAAAAAAACTTTGCATTTTAATCCTAACCATACTATTGTTCCAAGCCGTTACTTTGTGCAGCAAAAGGCAAAATCTAATCATCTCCTCTCATGCCTTCACACACACTGTTGACTCCTGCTGAAAAGGTAATGCTTGTATTCTCTGGGGAGTATAGAGGGATAATGCAAACATTGTGATGTTGTCTAGAGAGAGCCTTTAATGAAAATGCCTCAGGAGGGCCAGCTTTTATTAAACCACCACCTTTCAGTTTTATAAAACAACCAAAGGGTTTGTTAGAAATTCATGTAAGATATATTCCCAAAGACTTTACCCATCTTGTAAAGTTTTCTAAATTCAGCAAAAGGGGGGGGGGAGCGGCAGCAGAGGCATCATTCCCCCACCTCCTGCTTCTCAACAACAACAATCTGATTAGGACTTTCATTACCAGTCAGAAATTTTTCAAAGAGGGGCATCATTTGCCATTATCATATGAAAGCCTAATATTATAGATACTTATCCAGGGTTACAAGAAGGGGTTTTCAAGCCACTTCTCCCTGTGATTCCTACCACTTGACAGAAAAATTTAATACAAAGCGCACAGCATGATGAGCAAAAGTAATTTTGCAATGAGTGGTTGTCCATGCTATTATCTGTACTTTATTCTGAGTATTTTCTCTCTCTAGCATCTATCTGATATTAGACTACATTAAATACTGGCATGACACAATGCACCTGGGCCTCTTGGCTTCTGCCCAGGCTCCCTTGTCATTGAAACGGAATTTTCAGAATATTATCTGATTTCAAGGGGTTATTAAAGCAGTTTTCTCTGTGTTTATTGGAGCATTGTGTGTGAAGGGAGAACACAAGGTGTAAATCTCAAAACTATACCAATGTTTTTACATTTACGGAATTTTCTATAATTCAAAAGAATTTAAGGATGTCTTCCCCGGCTTTATTCTTCTTTTTGAAAAAGTAAGGACACCAAAGTTAAAAACAGACTGTGTATCAAACTTTGGTCTGAAAACATCTATGCTGGAGTATCTTAAGTCAATCTTGTCTGGATCTTTATTTGGTCATTTCATTTTCTCTAAAGTAGAAATAAGTAAAACACATAAATACGTTTCATAGCAAGTTGACGGCAAGACGACAACAACAAAAACAACACAAGTAATTTAGTAGCACTCTCACACTGACTTCTAGATTGTGCAAGGGACAAAAGACAAATGCACATAGAGACAGTATAATTACTTAGAGAACTCGGTTGGTGCAGATGAACAAAGAGTGTACTGTTATGGAACAGGGTGGACCCTCCTATGCAGAAGGATCAGTCCTGTGCAGCATGTGGGGCAATCTTACAAACAAACAAGTGCTCTATGTGGCCACTGGGCATCAGAATGATCATGCAAAACTGTGTGTACTATATATGTTGCAATGTCTTTTTTGGTGTGATAAGATAGGCTGGACGCTTCTAGGGTCCTTATCATAACTTCAGGAACTGTGTGTTCTCGTTGTGTGTGTCTTTAGCATCCTTGTTCTTCTAACAACAACTGACCTTCAGGGAAGATAAGCCTGCCCTCCCTCCCTACTGTCTCCCAATGGGTGCTGAATATATACTGTTTCTGAGAGACAAAGCAGGCATTTGCTTCTTAGAAAGACAGAGAAGGCTAGAGGATCTAAAATGTTTTTGCTTGGACAATAGGGAAAAGACCTAGTAAATGCAGTGGAAAGCTCAGAAAAATGTAGGGTTGATCATTTCTCAGTAGCAAAACAAAGGATCTAGGGGTTATTAAAGCAATTTTTCTGTGTTTATTGGAAGATTGCATGTGAAGGGAGAACACAAGGTGTAAATCTAGATACAGAGGATCAGATAGATCTGATTTGATTTATTAAATTTCTACCCCGCCCTCCCAGCTGAGGCCGGCTCAGGGCGGCTTACATAAAAACAACATAAAATTTACAATAGTATAGAATAAAGATTAAACAGCATGAATTGATACAAGATTCTAAAGCCATAAAACATAATAAAGTGCTAATAGCGATGATTTCACAGCAGTTGTTGCTGCTGCTTAGTTCTCTCATCTCACAGTCGCCTCCTTGATCTTCATCGATTGTCTTAGGTGGTTAGCTCAGGTTGTAGTTAAAAGTCCCAGGGGAACAAGGCTCTCTGACCATAGGCTGTCAGTTGTTAGTAGTGGTGGCGGCTCCAAAAGCCTGGTGGAAGAGCTCAATTTTACAGGCCCTGCGGAACTGTAAAAGGTCCCGCAGGGCCCTGGTCTCTTCCGGGAGCTCATTCCACCAGAGTGGAGCCACCACTGAGAAAGCCCTGGCCCTGGTTGTTGCTAGCCTGGCCTCCTTGAGACTCAGAAAGGCCGCCGTTTCTGGGCCCCTGATTGCAGCACTCTCTGGGGTACATGAGGGGAAAGGTGGTCCCTCAGGTATGTCAGACCCTGGCCATAAAGGGCTTTACAGGTAAGAACCAGCACCTTGAAACGAATCCGGTATGCTATAGGCAGTCAGTGCAATGTCTTTAGTACAGGCTGGATGTTCTCCCAAATGAAGAGTCCCATCAAAAGCCTGGCTGCAGCATTTTGCACCAGCTGCAGCTTCTGGATTTGAGACAAGGGCAGCCCCATGTAGAGGGCATTACAGTAGTCAAATCTCAAAGTGACCATCACGTGGATCACTGTTGCCAATTCGTTGAATTAAAGGAAGGGAACCAACTGCCTAATCCGCCAAAAATGGTAAAAGGCTGGCTTGGCAGTGGCTGCTACCTGGGCCTCCATTGTTAAGGAGGTGTCTAGGACCACTCCCAAACTCCTAACCTCTGGCGCTTGTACCAGTGGTGCCCCATCAAAGGTCAGGAGCAGGATCCTTGCCCTTGGACCATTCCAACTCAGGCACAGGACCTCCGTCTTCATTGGATTCAATTTCAGCTGGCTCAGCTTAAGCCACAGTTTGTAATGGCCAGTCTAGATCTTCGGGTTTGGAGTTGGACTGATGGCCCAACAACAGATAGAGCTGGGTGTCATCCACATACTGATGACATCCCAGCCCATGCCTCCTCTGGGCAAGAGGATGCATATAGATGTTGAAAAGCATTGGGGACAGCACTGTCCCTTGAGGCACTCCACATTCTAGTGGGTGCCTCAGGACAGCTGGTCCCCCAGTGCCACTCTTTGTCCTCGGCCCTGGAGAAAAGAAACAAGCCACTCTAGACTTTTGCATTGGTGAGACGGTGGATCAGTAGCTGACAGTCGACCATGTTGAACACAGCTGACAGGTCTAACAGCAACAGCACTGCCGATCTGCCCTGATCCAGATGCCTCCAGAGGTCATCTGTGAGGGCGACCAATGCCACCTATGTCCCATGACCTGGGCAAAAGCCAGATTGGAAGGGATCTAGGATGGAAGCATCATCCAAGAAGCCCTGTAACTGAGTTGCCACTGCCCTCTCTATCATCTTGCCCAAATAGGGTCAGATAGATACAAAGGATCAGAACTAAAGCTCTTCTTGCAGAACAGTTCTTACCTGCTTGCTGGTTAGGTGGGGAAAGTTTTGCAATGGCTCCATTGTCAACAGAACTGCATATCTGTGGTTGCCAGCAGGCTTGCCAATTTCCTGCTGTGCCAGGGGATCCCCCAGCTCCCATGTCCCACCGACACTCTTGTGGCTGGCAGGAGAAAATAAAGTTTAAAAAATTGCCCTTGAGCAATGGCATGATGTTTGCTCTAGGATTCATTGGAAACTCTGTGGCTGTTTGTAGAGAGGTGTGACATCACTTCATGGTTTTCCCAGGAAGTGACATCATGCCATTACCCAATGGCATCCCCCAATGTGCCCCCTTTGGACACCTACCAATTGCCTGATAATATCCAAGTGATAGGAAGATTGTCTATAGCTATTCATAACAAATTGGATTATCACACAGATGGGTGACATAGAAAGCAATGCTCTGTTTTGGAACATCTGCTTCCAGATAATAGGAAGACTGCTATAATCTCATCTCCAGGCCCAAACACAGTTGTTTGGCATAAGCTTCCATCTGAATGCCCAAAGCTTATATACTACCAGGGCTTTTTTGGTAGAAAAAACCCAGCAGGAACTCATTAGCATAATAAGCCATACCCAACAGCAGAAACTCATTAGCATATTAGGCCACACCCCTGGTAGTACAGCTCATTAGCATATTAGGCCATACCCCCATGTTACCAGAAGTGTGGTCATCCAGCCACACCCACTTTTTGCTTCTTATTCTGTTTACCTTGTTTGTTGTCAAAACCCAGGGCTTTTTTTGTAGCAGGAACTCCTTTGCATGTTAGGCCACACACCCCTAATGTAGCCAATTCCAATGAGTTTCTGCTTTTTGGTGTGGCCTGTTATGCTAATGAGCTCCTGCTGGGCGTGGCCAACTCAGGAGCCAGCCGGAACTCCGTTCCTGTGCGTTCCTGCCCAAAAATAGTCCTGTATACAACTGAAATTATAGAACCGAGTTCCGTACCTGCTATGCCTGCACACATCTTCCACACTTACAAACAAACTGGAGGAAGCATATTGCCAAATACAAATCCTGAAATGCAAATACACAAGAGTTATTGTGAAAAGTCATGACTATTATATTTGTAATATATGTAGGCCTTAAATTCAAGGAAGATAAACAGACACTCGTGTAACATAC